TGCAACACTTTGCACTTGGCCTTGTTGAACCTCATTAGGTTCACATGGGCCCACTTTTCAAGCCTGTGCAGGTCCCTCCAGATGTCGTTTCTTCCATATTAACTGTACCACTCAGTTTGGTGTCATCAGCAAACTTGCTCAGAGTGAACTCAATCCCATCATGTATATCATTGATAAAAATGTTGAAGAGTGCCAGACTGAAAACAGATCCCTAGGGGACACCACTTGTCACCAGTATTCACCTGGACATTAACCACATTACCCTCTACCTTGTAGTCCACCCTCCAAATCCATCTCTCTCCAATTCAGAGAGAAGGATGTTGCATGGAACCACATTGAATGGCTTGCAGAAATCCAGTTGAAGTTCTATCTTTCCTTGTCAATTGACAGAACATTTCTTATTCTGATGATTTCACAAACCCTTACAGGGGTTTCTGATATTGGAACACCTCATATTTCAAATACTTTCAGTCCAAAGTGCTGGTGTTCAATATGGAGAGGGTCCCTTTGTACAGACCTTGTCAGCATGTCTGCCATGGGGTCTGAGTCCACAGTTCTGAGCAGCAAGAAAATAAACTATCCCTGATCTCGTGCCATGGCGCTGCCACCTGACCTCCTTGCAGACGACCTGTCACTGAGCCACTTACTGGCTGCTGCTACCCAGGGACAGCATCGAAGTTTCCAGGTCTGTAATTATCTTATAATAGAGATGTTCAGGGACTCATTCTTGACAAAAAGTGTCAGCTTCCTTTCCCTCCAGCTGTAGAAAGCGCATGGCTAATTTTAACTCTAAATTCCAGCCAGTTCTTGAACCTTCCATTTTGCTCATGATGAGGGCTGCTGCATCAAAAGAAAGCCACTCTTGATGAAACTGCCTAAACCATTTCCGTGTTACAAAGCAAAGCAGTCCCACTTTAATACATTTTCAACAGACTAACCTCATTCTGAAAACCTTCCGAGATACTTCAGAAGGTAAGTTTCTGTGCTCATTTACCTTTAACACCACTTTTTAATATTATTGTTGTGTTGTAATTAGAGTTCTCTCCTAGCTGTAAGGACAGTTTGCAGCCTGTGGTTCCATATCTCAATATTTTCCAGGTTAAACAACCCCATTTATAAGATTTGCTGAGTGAGGGGATGAGTATTTAGCTGAAGTTAAGTATTTTGACTGAAATGACTCCTAATGTGATCTCCAAAGCACTGAATTTGTAGGTCTAGTTCAAAGGTACTTTTAGAGATTAGGGTTTTGATCTCCCACTACCACTATGTACCTTCCTCCTTCTCTCAACTTTGTGGTTTCTTGTTTATTTCAAGAGAGAAAAACCACAGTGCAAAGCAAAGGCAGGAAATAATACAGAGAGACAGGATGTGGAATGGGTCTCATGGCCCAGGTGGGGCAGGAAAGGGCACACCACTGGTTCCATGACGTCAGTGCCGAGATCTGGGTCATCTTTTGATGCTCCTCTATACTTTACCACAGAAACCTCTTCCTCTGCAAAGTGGAGTGTAAAATAGTGTGGGGGAGCAGGGCTGGTGTGGTACGTGGCAGGAAGGAGGAGAAGCATGTGGAAAAGAAACAGCAGACGTTAGACCACAAGCCAAAGTTGAAAGAGATGAAGAAACCCCCTCTTCATATTCCCCCACCAGAGCCTGCTCTTTGGTGTATGGGGGGGAAGTTGTTCTGGGTACAACAGGAAAAACTGAGCTATGTATAGCACAGAAGGAGGAAAGGAGGGGAAAAAATGAATTACAAAGCTTGGTGGGCTGCAAGGGGAGATCTTAGAAGAGTGTAAGATTTCTGAATTTGCCAATAGGCCTCTGTAACCCATTATAGAACCAGTGAATCGATGGAGGAAAATCTTTCCACTTCTGACATAAAAAACAAAGCAGGAAGATGGGGAGGCCAGAGTCCTCTCATATTGCCAGGAAAGGAGATGTTTCCAAACCTACAGCACGTTATCCCCTGTGCAAGCTCCTGCTCCCTAATGCCTTCCTTCGGATTGGAGATAAACTTGCATCTTTTCTAAGGGTCTTGGAGAAAACACCCTGCCCTGTGTTTGTTATCCCTCATGGCCCCCAAACACAAAACAAGCTCTCTTGCCTTTTTATTTGTGGTGAGCAGTGACCCCAGGAATGGCCCTTCTAAGGAGTAGAGGCTGAAGGTAACCACAGACTTGTTGAAATCATTCAGGTGTGGGAATACTTCAAATAGGACTTGAAGTTTTGGGCTTAGTGTGTAGCAACAAGAGACACTGAAAGCATGTAAACTTAGAAGAAAACAAAAGAACAAAAAGGGTTTTTCTCTTCCCAGAGGCTCCTGCTCAGTGACCACAGGAGGGCCCCAGTCTCCTGTTCTCCCCCCACCCAAAGAGTGAGGAGAACCATACAGACAGACCCACAGGGAGGCACTGGTGTCTTGCAAATCATAGAATCATAGAATGGCCTAGGTTGAAAAGGACCACAGTGATCACTGAGTTCCAACCCCCTGCTATGTGCAGGTCACCAACCATCAGACCAGGCTGCCCACAGCCACATCCAGCCTGGCCTTGAATGCCTGCAGGGATGGGGCATCCACAGCCTCCTTGGGCAACTTGATCCAGTGCCTCACCACCCTCTGTGTGAAAAACTTCCTCCTAATATCCAACCTAAACCTCCCCTGTCTCACTTTAAAACCATTCCCTCTTGTCCTATCACTACCCACCCTCACAAACAGCAGTTCCCCCTCCCATTTATACGCTCCCTTCAAGTACTGGAAGGCCACAATGAGGTCCCTGGAGCCTTCTCTACTCCAGGCTAAACAATCCCAATTCCCTCAACCTTTCCTCATAGGAGAGGTGCTCCAGCCCTCTGATCATCTTATTGCCCTCCTCTGGACCCGCTCCAAGAGCTCCCCGTCCTTCCTGTGCTGGGGGCCCCAGCCCTGGATGCAGTGCTGCAGATGGGAGCTCACAAGACAATCACCTCCCCCTCCCTGCTGGCCACCCCTTTTTTAATGCAGCCCAGGACACAGTTGGCCTTCCGCACTGCAAGCGCACACTGCTGGCTCATGTCCAGCCTCTCGTCCACCAGGACCCCCACATCCCTCTCCGCGGGGCTGCTCTCAAGGAGATCTTCCCTCAGCCTCTATAAATACCTGGGATTGCCCCGGCCCAAGTGCAACACCCTGCACTTGGCCTTACTGAACCTCATTAGGTTCACATGGGCTCACTTCTCCAGCCTGTCCAGGTCCCTCTGGATGCCTTCCCTTCCTTCCAATATATCAGCTGCACCACTCAGCTTGGTGTCATCTGCAAACTTGCTGAGGGTGCACTCGATGCCATCGTCTGTCGTGGATGAAGATGTTGAAGAGCACCGGTCCCAAGACCGACCCCTGAGGGACACGGCTTGTGACCGGCCTGCACCCTGACACAGAACCATTGACCACAGCCCTTTGGCTGCATCCAGTCAGCCAATTCCTAATCCAACAGTCCATCCTTCAAATCCACATCTCTCCAATTTAGAGAGAAGGATGTGATGAGTGACCATGTCAAAGGCCTTGCAGAAACCTTTGCAAATACAGCAACTGCAGTGACAAAGGGGAAACCTTGTGTATGTTCCTCCTTCCATGATGACTGTCTGCCATGGGTCTGGATCAGAAGGCCATTCTTATGGGAAAAAACACACAACGGCTCATTTACAATTTCTGCATGTTCTTGAGTTCTCTGCCTGCTTCCAGCACCCTATAATTGGTACAGAGCTGGCACTGCTATCATAAATAAACGTCATGTCAATGTCAGTCTAATGCAACTAGTCAGAGCTGGCATGAACTTTCTGTTCGCGCCACAAACTGACAATATCTTTCAAAACAGTAAAGACCCTGCTCCCTCATACCTCACTATTCAGTCTATGCTAAGCAAGTGCTTAGGAGCTCTATGTTTCCATTTTCACTGGTTTAATGGCTGTAGCACAGCTGGAAATGCTAGATCAGAAACTATCAGACGACAGCCAGTGGTAAATGCTGAAGCTATTGGATCATGCTTTAACACCTCAGTGTCAGTAGACAAGCATTCTTTTGTCACATACCATTACTGTACATATTTCCTACTCTGTGTTTCAGCTGCAGAACAAACAAAACAGTTGCAAAGCCGGAGGATGGAGCCTCAAGCCTGAAGGTGACCCAGGTTCATTCCTCATCCAAAGATCTGGATGGGGTAGCTATAGTTAATATATATAATATATATATATATATATATAAACAGGCCACCCTGTGCCTGATCTGATCATTAAAGGGCTCTAAATTCCATCAGAACTAAGAAACAATTGGACTAAAACAGACACTAACTGAGATCAAGGGCCAAAGCCACCGAATGTAAGCATTGCACAAATGCCTTGGAGGTGAGGGACTGTTAAGGTTTAATTTATGAAGCCTTCGTCCACTGAGCCAGGACAGCTCAAGTAAAGCTCTGTCCCCAAGCTGACACAACCTGGCAGCCTCTTCCAACATTCTTGGGTTTATCAGCACTTTGAACTGCAGAAAAACTTAGTTCTAATTACTACTAAGCCTTAATGAGCCTTCAGTTTCAACTGGCACACCTAGCTGTGCCCCATACGGCCCTGACGTATATGGAAGGGCCTGTGAGAAGATGGGTACATGTGAGGATGTGCTGGAAAACATCTGCAGCTTCTCTTCATTCATGATCACTAACCACAGCCTAAACCTGTGGTTATACATAGCTTTGAATCCTGAAGGCATGTTGGCAATGTACTCTCCATAAGATAAAGGGGCACAAAACAGGGATATGAAAGGGGAAGATGATAATTCAGTTTCCATGACAGCCTGTTTCTTGCTTCCCTCTGAAATTAGAGAACATTAAAAAAAAAAGAAAAGAAAAGCCCAAAGGGTACAAAGGAAGGGAAGGAGAAAGGGAGGAGGAAACACCTGAGCAGGAACTTAAGCATCATGAGAAACTCTCTATTTGTAAATAAATAAAAAGGTAAATAAATAAAAAGGTAAAAAAGACTGCAGTATTATGAAGGGCTTTATTTAAAGAAAGAATTACAGTAACTGGAATGAGGCAGCAGACCACTCCATAGGACAGTCTGTGGGAATTATCTTTGACTTCTGCTTCTCCCCTCTTTGACTTCTGCTTTTCCCCTTTCTCATCAAAGCAGCAGCTACTGCTGGAAAACAACACTTCCCTCTAAAAAGATTTGGCATTAGAGTTCTAGAAGAATTCAAGACCTGGAAAGAAAGAAAGATAACATGAAGCATCTGCAAAGGGAGAAAATACACCATGAACTTTAACAACAGAGCACACTCTTCCCATTCTGGTATCAAACTCTCCCTATTCTTAACTCTCTTCTCTCATCTGCTGATAAACTTCATACTTGGATACCAGCCATTATACAACCTCTAAACAGGACAGCCCTCAAACACAGAGCCTCGAAGTCTCAGCCCAGAAAGTTCCTTCTGCATAGAAAAATAGAGGTATTTTTAAACTAAGAGTAAAATATGGTTAGATTTCTGTGACTCACGTAGTTAAACTGACTTTTAAATGAGTAAAGCAAAAAAAAAAAAAATCATAAAAACAAAAAGCAGTAAGTTTTACCCCTATATCAACATAAAGAACAATGGATTAATTGTACTTGCTCATGAGAAAGCTTGGGAGCTTTCTAGTTTTCTCCCAGATCTACAAAAGTATAGAAAGTGTTGTCCCTTTCTATGGCCACATGGATCAGTACCTCAGACTCTTCTAGGGTTCAGCCAACAAAATTGATAACAACGAGATGCAGGATGGTGTTGGCAAAGAGGAAATCAGCAAATGCCCGCTCTGGTGAAATGCCCTGGAACTCGCCTTTGTTCTGGGGGTTAATCTGGATCCGGAGACAAACTGTATGACAGAGAGAAAATGATACATCAGAGATCACAAAGGGAATTCATGGTATGAAGCATGATCTTGCTACGGCAGTCCACCCTGGTTCCTCCAAGACATAACAAGTGAAACCAACTTTATCATTGTTATAAGAAAAGCAGAACATTGACAGGGGATTTGCATGTGGCTGATAAGCAACCAGTTCTCTCACAGCACTACACTATCAGGAATGGCCATGGAAAACTTGAAGGAAGTGGGCTTACAAAAGGATTGGTTTGGCACAGACAAGGAGCCAACAAAACACTGTTAGCTGTGCTGGAAAGGGCTGCGCAGGGACAAGATGTTTTTAAAAGAGTGCATTATAGGGGAGCACCATCCTGAAGCAGTTATTGCTAGAGTTGGGTTCACCATAAAATGAACACTAAGGAAAGAAATCAATACACAATGGTAAAAGGGAAGATTCCCTGACCACCCCTGGAGAAGAGGGACACATGGGGCTCATGAGGAGCTGGGTTCTGTAGTGCACAAAAGTTCACAGTCTGCTGCATACCATCTTGCTGGGGGGCAGGACCAGCCAGCCAGGACCAGCCCTCAGTGACGGGGTGCAGATCTGGGCACTGTCAGACAGACCTAGAAAGGTATGCTGGGAGGAGAGCTGGTTGCTTTAAGGTTACCAGGGAACATCCTGGAATTCTCAGGTTTTACCCTTTCTTACGTTTTTTATCTTTGCTATGGCAACTTTCTGGTTTCTAGAGAGGGTCTGGAATTACCCAAGGAATGACAAGCAGCAGCACTGCCTGGTTGCTGGGCAAGCTGGGGGCTGCTGATCCCTGGGCTGTGGGTTTGGCCAAGAGGGGTCTGCAGCTGGCGTAAGAGATGTCATCCAAAGGACATCCTGACAAACTCGCAAGGTGGGCCCACATAAACCTGATAACATTCAACAAAGCCAAGCGCAAGGTGCTGCACTTGAGTCAGAGCAATCCCAGATATGTACACAGTCTGGGAGAACTTCCTGAGAGCAGCCCTGTGGAGAAGGATTTGGGGTCCTAGAAGAGGAAAACCTTAACATGAGCCAGCAGTGTGCACCTGCATCCCACAAAGCCAGCAGTTTCCTGAGCTGCATCAAAAGAGGGGGGCAAGGTGATTGTCCCCCTCTGCTCTGCTCTTTGTGAGACCCCATCTGGAGTACTGCATCCAGGTTTGGGCCCCAATGCAAGAAAGATGTGGAGCTTTTGGAGAGAGTCCAAAGGAGTGCCATGAGGATGCTCAGAGAGGGAACACCTCTCCTATAAGTTCAGGTGGGGGGGAACTGGTCTTGATTAGTCTGGAGAAGGCTGCAGGGAGATCTCATTGTGGCCTTCCAATATTTAAAGGGAGATTATAAACAGGAAGAAAATCAACTTTTTATATAGTTAGCGATAGACAAGGGAAAATAGCTTTAAACTAAAAGAGGGGATGAGATGTCAGGGGAAGTTCTTCACAGAGAAGGTGGTGGGGAGCTGGAACAGGCTGCCCAGAAAAGCTGTGGATGCCCCACCCATGGAGGTGATCAAGGCCAGGCTGGATGGGGCCACTGACAATCTGATCTGGTGGTTACCAACCAGCCCCCACAGAGGGGCTGGAACTAGGCGATCTCTGAGACCCCTTCCAACCCAATTCATTCCGTGTTTCTATGTGGCCGTTACTGAGGGAATTCCGATAGCTACGGGGCTTCGTGCACTGCGAGGAGCCCCCTGGGTGCTGCGGGAGCTTCAGGCAGCGCCACGAAGAAATCTGACGGGACGGCCTGGGTGTCGGGGGCAACCGCGCGGGGTTCTCACTAACCGCCGAGGATGAAGCTGCCGACGGCGGAGATAAAGCCGCTGAGGAAGGAGTTGAATGGAAAGGTGCCGACGCCCAGGCAGTAGCCAAACTGGAGCGCCCCGGTGAGCATCACGTACAACAGGTATGCGTCCAGCACCTTGAGGCGGCTCGACGTGCCGCTGCCGTACTCTGCCAGGAAGCGCCGCACCACAGAACCTACCGAGCCCGCAGCCCCCGAACCCGCCGCGCCCGACATGGTGCCCCCCAAGAAAGCTGAGGTGGCCGGAAGCAGAATGGATAAGCTTCCGGGACACAACCGAACAACGCGAGCGCGTAGCCAGGCCACTTCCGGGTCAGAGGTAGTGCGCAGGCGCAATTGTCCTGCCCGCAAAAGGGCGGAACTAAGGTGTTATTAGAGATAATACGCATGCGCATAACTACGTGCCGGATTGGCTGAAAGGTGTTTCTGACTGGCGCGTGCGCAGAAGCCCGCCAGTCTCCATAGGCGTCCTTGTCTGAGCTGGGGGTAGGAGTTGGGCTTGGTTTGCCAGGACGCAGTGTGGGGGTTTATCTGTGTTCCTGCCACAGGGCCTGGCATGCTGAAGTCCCAGCAGTCCTGCAGAAAGCTGAGACCTGAGCGTGTGGGTTTTCCCAGTCTTTATCTGCAGTGCCCAGTATGGAACGTGGGACTTCTCTCCCAAGCCAGTTGTCTGTTTTTGGGGCATCTCTGGGAATGTTCATTGGGGTATCCTTTCTGGTCCAGCACAGCAGCGGCAAGATGTCTGGGAAGATGTCCAAAAACCATCCTTCCTCCAGATGCCTGCAACTGTTACTTTTGTGTAGGTCCCTTCGTATTTATGTCCAGAGAGAAGCATTGTGGTGATGGGGTGATGGTTGCAGTAGGTGATCTTAGAGTTTTTTTCTAAGCCTGATGATTCTGTGATTGTATGATTGAGAACTGCAGCGTTTTCTCTCCACCTTACCCAGCTCTCTGCAGTAAGGGAGTACAGAAAATGTATCTCCTCCAGGTCCAGTAACAGTTCTCCTTGTTTATCTCGTACCTGGACCAGGAGCCTCCTGGATTGTTTGCAGACCACCATGTTGCTTTCCCAGCAGATATGCAGGTAGTTGAAATCCCTCATCAGGATGAGAGCCTGTGAGGATGATGCTTATAGTTGGAGCAAGAAGTTCTCATCAGTGGGATTCTCTTGATCAGGCAGCCTATAGCAGGCCGTGACCACCTGATGTCCTGTCTTGGCATAGTCCCTAATTTTTACTCACAAGCTCTCAACCTATTTATGGCTGCTTTTTTTAGAGGCAGTTCTTTGCAATCTATCCATTCCTTAACACAGAGCTCAAAACTCCAGCTTCTCTTTCCGTTCTGAAAAACGTGGCCCTTGTTTGCAGTGTTGAACTTTTGTGATTGTCATGCCTACATGCCATGGTCTATGTTAAAGATCACTATACACATAACTTCATATAGTCACAGTTTCTTTCTTCACTGGCTAATGCTTCACGCTTTCCTCCTCAGTTGATGATGCATTGTGGTGGATTCCCATTCAATCAGAACAAGAGTTGATACTGCAGATATCGAGTATGTTCACTTGTAGTTTTGGGTCTCTGCTTACAGTATTACCAGTGAGTGGCTGCATGAGCAGATGAATGGGGGAAGGAGCATCATCTAGTGCATGCTTGTGGTAAACTGCTTGCTAATGGAAAGTCTGTGCTTCAGGAATAAAAGTCTCCCATATCCCTTCCTAGGGTTTTCCCAGCTTTGCAGATGAGCACATTAATATATCTTTCTCATTACTTTAGAATCTTTTTAAAGAAATGAAAATGCTTAAGGAGAGCACCTAGATGGTCCACAGAAATCTTGGGATGGACAGCTGCTCAAGATGATTCACCCAAACTCAAATACACATTTCTTTTAGCCTGGGGCTGTGTCTGGAGATGCTGAAAACAGGCATAAAACAATTAGAAGAGCTTACCCCACTGTATGCTGTGATGACTTTCCAGACTTTCAGGAGGGAAAACTTCTAGGCAGGGGCAGAACTAAACCACATCTTCACCTCTAGTTCCCTGTATGTAAGGATCTACTGGCTACATCAGAATACTCCAGAGTATCTTGAGCAAATACTGCACTTTTCTCTAATCTTCAGGATAAAGCCATGATTTTCCTGGTGCCTGGGAATGAAAACCCAGGTCTGAGTGTCACTTTTTTCACCCCATATGCCTTGTCTCCCTGTTCATTTTGGAAACCCTTACCTCACAGGAGGACCAACAGAAAGTTCAGATTTTCCTTCCATAAAATGAGCTCTGAATCTAAAACTCTGGAATGCTTTAGAAACTTCCAGCTTTCCTTGTGGTATATAAATAATCCGTATTTTGGGAAGTGTCTCCTTTGACATTTTAGGGATGGAACGATACGTAATTGTTTCTCTGCGCTTTGCACTTGTCTGTTCCAGACAGAAAAGATGAGTCTTAAAGGAAGAACAGCATTTATTTTTGGAGTTACATAGTGCAATGGAGTGAAAACGTTAAAGCTATAAAGGTAGATCATTAACAACCCAGAAACTTTCCTGCTATAGCTAGAATAAGTCAGCCATCAGTCTGAGCAGATGCTGCTACAGCTAAGATCAAGGCTTTGTCACATGTTGTAGCTTGCAGAAAATTCACTGTTTATTGGAAGATGAACCAGAGACTTTGCCAACATGCATGGCAGAAAGTGTGATGCAGCACATTCTCAGTGGGAGCTATGGTTACTATGCCTTTTGTTGACACCTCTAAACATTCATCTTTTCTAGTGTGCACAGCAATTCTGTATCAAGAGAGAAGCCATGTGTGAGCTGGCCAGTAGCCCATTTTGCCAAAAGTGGATTTGGAAAGGGCCACTACTCCATGAAAAAAGTTATGCTTCCCTTCCACTCCCACCTGCAGCTAAAACAAACATAGTGGAGGCTGTGAACTAGGTTTTCTGTTGTGCTCAAGCATGATGCAGATGCAGCCCAGCTAGTAGGAGACATCTCACAAATAATGAGAATTCATCTGTTAACCTTGTTGGGAGCAGCAGTGGTGTTACAGCATGACAGGTAAATTTAAGCTATGATTTGTGGCCCTATTTTGTTCCACAGATGCTGATGTTCTATATGCTGATGTTGAGCTCATAGCCTAAAGATGCTTGGATTCACACTGCTCCCGAGGAGGGTGTTACTTGCCTCCAGGCATTTGTCCAGCTGAGACACTGCAATGAGGGAGAGACGGGGAGTGAGGCAGGAAGGAGGGTCCACAGAAGGAAAGGAGAAAGAAGGCACAGGACTATTTCACCTGTAAAGGGGTAAAGCAAGTCCCATTGGAGAGAATGGGAAGGAGGCTATGCTGTGTAGATCAGCAAGAAAAGGACCCTTAAGGCTTACCAGCTCGGCTGCACAGCCAGGTTACAGCCTTTGCCTCCAGCAAGTCATATATCTCGTGGCAATGCCTGTTGTGTCTCTGCAGCCAGGTCACAGCCAGCACTGTTGCCCAGAAACTAGGCTCCATGACCTGTAGAAGAACAATGAATGACACTGCTGCACATCCTCCCTAATCCTCACTCCTTCCCACCCCATCCTTTGTGGCTAGTGGTTTCTGATCCTTTCAGTAATTCTCCCTGATCCAGGAGTAAATGCTGCCTCTGAAAGGATCTTCCTCTTACCTCATCAGGCATCTTTCCCTTGATTTCAGCCTCATCAACCTGTAGCACAGAAGCTAAATCTGAGCTGAGGGTCCAGGAGCCATCTACGTTCTGCAGTGCCACCAGGTCTCTGCACTCAGCAATGGCTTCACTCATCCACGGCCCAGAAATTGTAGAGCACAAAACAAATCTTGTTGAATCTACATACTTGAGAGAGGAAATTGATGGTGGCGTCTGTTTAGGTGCTGTGAAACAAGACATGAACAGGGAATCACAGGAAGATGATTCCTCTCCATTCCCCTGTGCAGTGCTCCAGAACACTTCTTTCTACTCTTCCTCGGGCAGCTACCTACAGACTGAGACCCTCCCTGCATGTCCTCAGTGTAGTCTTGTCCCCAACCCTTTTTGGACATCCCTTACTTATCCCTCTTCCCTTGACATTTCTACCCAGCCAGGTGCCCCAGTGGTCTCCTGACATCCTCAACACATATCGTCCCAGTGTGCTTTCATGCTGAAGCATTGGCCCTGACATGGGCATCCTTGACCTGGATCCTACAATTGCTGAAGGACTTTCAGCTTTAAGAATAATTAAGGGAAAGATCAAACGCATTAGTTTCAAGACCAAGCAAGACATGTAGAAAAGCAAAGTAACACTCCTATCAGACATTAATTAATCCCTGTATTTCCTATCTGTGTCAAAGTCCCGTACCTTCTTTGTGAGTCCCATGCTGGAATAAGTTAGCAATGCCATTGGTGAGATGCTTGATGGCAATCCATGACTCCTGCAGTGCAGTGTGCCAGCTAGGTGGGTACCATATAGTCTTAGGAAAGCAGGAAGTGCCACTGAAGGAGCTGTGTAGCAAAAGGATCTTGCAGGGAATGAATGACTGGCGAGGTGGCAGCAGTGCCAGGGGCCCTTTGAGAGCAAAGAGGGAAAGGGTCTAAATAAAGGTCCTGGGGAAAAAGCACCTGTTGATGATGGGGCTTATGCATATTGTGGCTGGACTTCTGGTTCCTGTGGAATGAGAACAACACATGGAAATACCTCTCCAGTTCTTTTCCCCAAGTGTCTTTCCTTACCATGGTACCAGGGGGCCCTCCGTGATGTACGAACACCCACATAGCTGGTGAAGGGGCAGATGATTTCAGATGTGAGACTGATTTCAATGGCACGCTGCATTGGTTCATCCCCTGATCCGCTCGCAACCTCTGGCAACAGCTTCTCCAGCAAGTATCTTGCAGCCAGACGATGACCAGCCATCCTGGGGACAGAGTGGGGTGAGGCCTGACAACCTGGGGAAGTAAGGGCCTGGGTTCTCTCCTTTCAGGAGTGAGAATGGGCAGAGGGAAGACCTGGATGCATAGACCCTTCTGTCTTGAAGGAAGTGATGCCCATGTACCTGGGTCCTGTCCATGTGGGTTCAGAACAGGGAAGGAGACCATGCTTGGAAAATTGGGTTCTCTTCCAGTTTGGCATGGTGCGTGGAAGCTATGAATGTGTGAGCTATCTGTGTCCTTCCTCAGCTGGAGTCCACGTGCAGAAAACAAAGAAATGCTCTTACCGGCCATTTCCCTGTGGGCATAGTGGGAACTGGATCTTGTGAGTGACAACCTGGCCATTCAGGTTGAACTGCAAGGTCATGACACCACTGGCCTCCTTCATATTCTGGAAACATATTTGAAATTACTGGAGACACAGGTGCTGCTGGGGGATATTTGGAAGTTACTGGAAAATTACCAGTGGTTACTGGGAGGTCATTGGAAGGTAACTGTAGTTAACTGGGACAGTAGCCCCAGCTCTCACCTGTTCCTTTCCATGGATCTGTGCATAGAGGAATATGTGCTGACTCTGAAAGATGAACTGAGGGGTGCCTCCCAGCACCTCAACCTCCAGGCCAGAGGGCAAAGTCCAGTCCAGAGAGACTCCCTCAGCTACTGGCTTGAGGGCCTGCTTCAAGCATTTCAGCACCTGGGGAGAAATGGCAGAACACCACAATCTGGCAACTCCATTAGAGTTCAGCATGTGGTCCCTCTGGGTTCTTAGTGGACACTGGGATATGATTGGTGGTGTTCCAGTGTTGGCTGGGGTAGAGTTAATTTTCTTCCTAAGAGCTGGCACAGTGCTGCATTTTGGATTTAGGATTAGAATAATGTTAATAACACATTGATATTTTAGTTGTTGCTAAGCAGTGCTTCCATTAAGTCAAGGATTTTTCAGTTTCTCAGACTGCCCTGCCAGCAGGAAGATTGGGGAAACACAAGGAGCTGGGAGGGGATAAGACCAGGAAAACCAACCCAAACTGGCCAAATGGATATTCCATACCAAATGGCATGGTGCTAAATGATAACATTGGGAGAGGGGAGCTAAATGATAACACTGGCTGCGGCAGGGAGAGTCTGCTGTCTGGGAACTGGCTAGGTGGTGAGCAGTAGCATTGTGCATCACTTGTTCTGTATATTCTTTTAACATTATTATTATTATTATAATTTTCCCTTTGTTTTCTGTCCTACTAAACTGCCATTATCTCAACTCATGTGTTTACCTTTTCTTCCAGTTTTCTCCCACATCCCACTGGTGGAGACTGAGCAAAGGACTGCATCTTGCTTTGCTGCCTGCCAGGTTAACCACAGCAGATGGCCTGCACCAGGTAGCTTTCCTGAGAGCAGTCAGGTCTGTGAGCTATAGCAGAGGAGAAGCCTGGGCACTGCGTTTCTCAGTGGAGTGAGGCAGTTGGGTAGAGTCAGGGAAGCCTGGGTGCCTGGTTTCCCAGGGGCAGATAGGTCTTGGCTGTCATGAGTGGGTTATCCAAGTACCCGGGAGGCTGTGCATTTGTGGAACAGAGGGCAGCAACCAGGGCTTCTAGGTTCCTACCTGAACTATCGCATTGTCAGAAGAAACATAGATAGCTTCACCCTTCGTCTCCCTGGCAAGGGCTGTGGCCAGGGTAGCACTGTCCGTGGAAAAACAGAAGGAGAAACACCTATTGCAGAAGCAAGGAAAGGCTTCAGAAATGGGAGCCAAGCATAGATGCAAGGATGCAGGGAAAAGAGCTGGAGAATACTGGAATTATAGCTGGGGATACAAATCTGGGGTGGAGAACAAGAGGGTAGGAGGAATATCAGCAAGTGGACTGAAGCTGGCATTAGACGGAACTGTCAGAGGAGAGCTGGAGCTTGGAGCAGATCTGGAGCCAGTCTAGTGGAGCTGTACAGGAGTGTATAACCCCTGTACCTCAATCTCCCTGCTCACTTTGTGAAGGCTGCCTTGGGTATGGGAGTATTAAGCAAGGACTCCCCCTTGGAGGCTTGACACAAGATAGAGCTATGCAAGGTGAGAAAAGTCTCTGGACAGTGAATGCGCCTAAGGACAGAGACAGGTGAACAGAGACCCTCATCAATGATGGGAAGAGATCATGGACTGACTGAAAGATGGGGGCAGAGCCCCCATTACCGGTGGCTGTTGCGATGACGGCAGACCTCAGCAGCAATGGCTTCCTTGTCAGGTGGTAGCCCAGACATGAAGATGAAGAGCTGGGGGACAGAAGACATCAGTGGTGAGCCTTTGCACAAGAACCCCCAAATGTGGACAGCAGGTCCCTGAGATGGGGAGAAGGACCCAGGAGAGAGATCCCCTATAGAAAAGCTACCCCCAGAGAGATATCCACTCAGGGACAGAGACCCCTTGAGATGTAGAACCATTTTTTCTGCACTCTTCTGTGCCTCACAATATTCTTCTTGTTCACCTATGACCAGCATTCCTCTTAGGTTGCTCAGTCCACTCCCTCCACCACCTCCCATTTCCTATGTTCTCTCTGTACCCCTGGGACATCTATCCTTCCACCCTTCCATGGCTCTGTGCCCAGACCTGGCGTGCATGTCCACAGGGGCGGGGAGTGTTGTAGATTGTGCGGAGAGTTCCGAGCAGGTCCGTGTCACCCAGCCTGGAGCCAATTGTGGGTATGAGTTGCATTGCCTCATTCAGGTTGTCCTGGGTATATTCAACACTCTGCCTACAGCAGAAAGAATGTGTTTGCAGAGCACATTCATAGAATCATGGAACGGTTTGGGTTATAAGGGACCTTAAAGGTCATTGAGCTCCAACACCCCTGCCATGAGCATGCTTGCCAACATTGCCCTGTGCTGGTCCTGGTGCTCTCTGAGACTGACTATCATACCTATACCCCATCATTTTCTGCAAGACCCTGCCCCCTACTAGTTCATAAAGAGATCTCGAGTCCTAGTTCCTACAAGACTCTTCTCAACAGAACCACAAGAGATGCTCTCCCATACTGCCACAAAGATCCCCTCCCCAGAATCCAGTCCTGCCCTCTAGTACTGCCTCCAGACATGCCTTCCACTACCCAACATTGCCCCATACCAATCAGCCTATTTCAGAGCATCCCGATTTACCCTCTGACATCTCATTCTGTCTCATAGCATCTATCATAGCCCCATAGCACCCAGCCGTGCTCCACAGTATCAAGCCCTTCCCACCAGCTACATGACACTCATCCTGTCCCATGTTTGCTTACGGATAGATGCCCACAGATGTTGCTCCATAGCAGTAGATGTTGAAGTAGCAGCCCAGGGGTAGGCTTTTGAGAAGGAAGAACAAAGGGTCCTGTGGAAAGACATAGCAGGCTTGTCTTGGATGATACTGGTGGGGGATACAGATGCCCTGGTCCTTAGATTAGTCCTGCTAAAGCTCAGGCTCTGCGCACTCTCAGCCTACTTCCTCACTCCAGTTTGGCCCCAGCTTTGTGAAGGTACCTGTGTGTGCTCAAGGGAAGTGCTGTCCAAAACAAAGATGAACTCTCCAGACTGGTCTTGGCCAGGTTTTGCATCAGGGATGTTGGGTGCCAGTGTCACCAACACCAGGGAATCACCAAACAGAGAGCCTGGAGGAGATACACAGTGCAGTGAAGCCCAGTTTGGGATCACTTTCCTCATCCTGGTTCTGTTCCTCATTGTTCTCTAAGCATCCACCATCCCAGAGACCCTGATACCCCATACTGGTGCAGTGATACTCTACTGCACTGTCCACCAATTGCACAGCCCATTGTCCCATCAGCTCAGTGCCTCCAATACAGTTACCCAGTAAGCCCTAATATAGAGTTCCTTGTACCCATCCTGGTAGATCTAATACTTCACCACAGCGTACCCAGCAGCCCACCCTGAGCCTTAAGACCCCCCACCAACTCACCTGAATGTCTCCCATGCAGTAGTCCAATGAAGCCTCTCATCCCACAGTCCCTACCGTCTCCCTGTGCCCCAGCACCTCCTGATACCCAGAGGTGCCCCTGTGTTCCCTCTTCAACTGAACTCACCTGCAGTGGCAGCAGGGTTTCCTTTCTCCACCACAGCGCTAACTGCAGTAGGTTCTCTGTAATACACCAGCAGCTCCAAATGGTGATTTGGGGGAGTGCCAGCCAGTGAGACCTGGAGAAGAGTTGTCTAGCCTTACACAGGAGGAAGAGAGTCAGGCCCAGCATTAGACTGGGAGCACAGCACTGATTCCAGTGCATTCCTTTTGGTTCAGTAGTGATGCTACTTGGCAGCTCTCCCCAGAATTCTGGAATTCAGGAGGACGTACCTGTGCAGCACTGTGGTCCTGGGCAGTGTAGATCAAAGGAGTGAGGGCACAGTTGGCCTGGACATCAGCCACACCACGGGGTGACTGGAGGCTGACAGTGAGCAGGAGGCTGTAGTGTAGCTTGTCAGTGTGACAGTTACAGGCTGTGGGCAGAAATATGGCATAAAGGAGAACATTGGCTCTCCATGCAGTGCATGTGGGATTTGGCATCCATATATAGGACATGTGGAGAGAACAGGGGATGTCAGTAAATTTTTGGAAGTGTCTCTGAGTTTATTTATGGGGAATTCATGAGGGAGGAATGGATCCACTTCAAAGGACACAAGGAAGGAAGCACAGATCTGCTCAGGGGCTGCATTGTGGCAAAATATCAGTGGGTGCAAAGGAGGTTGCATTGGGTCTGTTCATAGAGTGAACAGGGAGTGTGGTTCTTCTCAGTCATGTACCCTTCTCTAGGGCATGTGACTGTCAGGGCAGGTTTCTTTTAGGATTACTCACTGTAATGAATCTTGTAAGGATGCATTGTGGATGGCAGCACAAATTGGGCTGCTCCATCTGGCTTCCGTGATAGCTCTTGGACATAGTGTAAGGTCACAACCATTTCCTTGCCAGGGGACAGGGAACCCAGGAAGCATGCAAACACCTCGCCTGATTTCTCAACCCCATACTGAAGGTAATGAAAATTCTCCTTCTCCACTGTAGCCTTGTGCAGCTGCTGGGTCTGGATGGGAAGGAGAGGAACAGAAAGCTGATCACTAACCAGGCCACGGGCTGCTCATACCATGCTGCTCTCATGGTTCTCCCATTCTTTCCTAAATGCTGGTACCTCATCCTGCAGCACAGCCTTGAACTTGGCATCCTCACTGCAGGCCTGGAAGGAATAGATGGCCATATGGGGATCCAGGGGGAAGACAAAGGTGACTTCTGAGGATCTCAGACTCTCGTTATGGTAGATCAGTTCCGAGACCACATCAGCTACATAGTCCTGGATAGCAACATCCACCACAGCACTAGAGAGGGGCAGTGAGCACAGGGGTACGTAGAACTCCTTTCCCAACAAAAAGGATCCTGGTTCTGTTGAGAGAGTTGCAACCTTTCCATCCAAACCCACAAACAACACACTGCTTCAAGTATGTGGCTGTTCACATTATGGAGACCAATACAGCTGACAGTTCAGTGTTGCACAAGGAGAGATTCTCCCCCCTCAAGAGCAAAAGGGGATCATAAGTCATTGTACATGGATTAGATATAGCAGTGTTGAGGATCTAGTGTAAGCGTGCCATAAGAAATTTCATTTACTTGTGCATCCCAGTTTCTTTTCCCCATCAATGCCTCTGTTCCCCACCCCGATCCTGTAGACCCCTTCACCATTCCCATCCTTGTTTCCCTTCACAAGATCCAGTCCAGACATTTCCCGCTACAGCAACCTATCCTCCTCCTTTCTTTACCTCCCTATCCCCTGAATATCCCTCAGCTGTCTGATCCCCCCCCTCACCATTGATGTCACTTTTTCCTAAAAGTCCAAAGCTCTGATGCCACATCTCTGGAGACCTGCAGACAGGAAGGGGTCTCATGTAAGAGGAGAGATCCACAACACCACCAGGCAACCTCTGTGTGGTCAAAATTCTTTGTCATTTCACCATGCTTACATACATGCCCGGAGGCCTTCAGCCACCATGCATAACCAGAGCAAATCCAGGGATTCAGAAATCTCTGTTCATAAAGACTAACCAGGAGCATCACTGCATTAAACAGGTCTGCACCCCATTCCCATCATGGGAGAATTCTGAAGAAAAATGAAGAATAGCAAAAGGAGATAAAAGGAAAGAAGGTGTGAAAGCAAGAGTGGATGGATGGATGGATGGATGGATGGATGGATGGATGGATGGATGGCAATACATATCTGCATGGGATCCATTTGGGGACAGGCAGATGCAGAAGTATACAGAGGCAAGAATTTTTGTTTAGTGTGTGGATAGATGGATGGATGGACCAACAAGTGGATGGAAGAATGGGTGGGTGGATGAATGGATGGATCCATTTTAGAAGAGATGAGTGGGTACCCATCATAAACAGTATAGTGTGAATATAACTGCACAAGGGATTGCACCTGTGAAGTATTTTCTTGGAGTAACTTGCAGGAGCAGACTGAAAGGCCAGGCAGTGTGGAGGAACATAGTGCAGAGAGAATTTAAGCCAAGGTCAGGTATTCCATGGTGGCAGAGCAAATAAATCCCAGAAAGGCACCAGTGGGAGGATGTTCTTAAATAATGTTTTGCTGCCCTCTGGCAAAGTATCGGGAGGTGAATGGTCTCCCCAGCTCTACCCCAAACCCAACCATATGTCTCTCTGATATGGAAACATTTGCCTCACTTTCCACAGTTTCTGCTCTGAGGTGGCAGGATGAGCAGCATCAGAAAAATTCCCACCCTGCCATCATGCTGACAGTGGACAGGCAGAGCAAATAGGGTGCACATCCTCTGGGAAATAGGGATGAAGAATGGTCAGAGGGATTAATTGAATAGGGTCAATCTCTTCCCAGTGACTGGGTACAATTAACAGAGAACAGGGAGAAAGTAATAAACTGAAGGACAAACAAGTAGACACTCACCAGAATAATGGCCTAGGTCATCAGCTGGGACGAGACGGACAATCAGATGTAGGGAGGGAGAGATGGAAGAAAAAGAAGGATAGAGAGTAAGAGGCAGATGGATGAGATTTCAGGCGGAAGGGGGAGGGAATAAGAGACAGAGCAAGAGATGGTCAGGCAGATAGGAAGATGCAGCGCTACGTAAACGCAGGGACGTCTGCAGTGAAGACAGTGGAGAAAGGGCGGAGAGATGAGTGGACGGACAAGGGAAGGCGGGCAGGAGTGGGGACAGGAGAGCGGGGGGAGGGAGGTGGGTCGGGGGAAGGAAAGGGGGGGAAGAGGGGAGGAAGGGGGAGGATCTTCAGGGCGGGGAACGTCTTCCTCTGTTGCAGGATGCTCCATGCACACAGGCTTGTGCGCATAGGCATGCCCAGCACTCGTTCCCCAAAGGAAGCTGCTGCAAATCACTCAGCAGGATTGCTCCTGGCCAAGCAGCGTCTGCCAAACCTCCTACCGCCCAGCTCTTCTGCTGTGTCCTCACATCTGATGCAATTAACATTAACTGCCAACGGCATCTGCAAACAGAGTGGTGATTGGTGTGTGCCTGAGGCAGTGGCATTCTTCCTTCTGCAGTCTCATAGACAGATTTGGAGGCTAGGCTCAGGTTCATATACTTGTTAGTGCTGGGCTGTTAAGTGAGTGAGGGATTGCAAAGCTGCAAGCCCAACATTCTGTCCAGCTGAATAACAGAATTAGCTGGTAGATGTACCCAAACTCACAAATCTCCTTTTGACTTGGGTGTCCTCTGTCCTTGCTAGACTGGAATACTCTATCTTCAGTTTCCTCGTATAAGCCAGCTCCATACTCATTCCTTCTTGGCAGCAGCTTGAGACAATCCACCTCATTTGTGGTCTACAGGTGCTCAAGAGGCCAAATCACATCTGATCACTTCAGATGCTTTTATCCCAGAGCATACCCTGATTGTCTCTTTTCTATGAGTATGCATGGGATTGAACTCTCATTTGTTCACCAAACCTGGGCAGCTTCCTTCAAACTGCCTCACTTGCCTTGGTGAGCTCTTCAGACAGAACAACACAGGGGGCTGTGCTGATGATGCCACAACCTTGATCATCATAGACAATTCTGGCTGCTTTTTTTTTTTTGAATTTCAACGAAGTGATTCCATTCTCATTACACTTGTGGAGATCAAGTTGTTTGAGGAAGTGGATAAACGTGCCATTGGGAAATGGCTACCTTCAAGAACTGATTGAACTCCTTGTGTTGTCTCCAGTTGTCCTGGTAGTTGTGAGTAGGAAAATGAATCATAAACTCCTGGCTCCACATAGGACTACCTAAAAATTACACCATATGTCTAACAATGTTGTACAAATGCTTCTTGAACTCTGAGAGACTCTGTGCCATGCCTGCTACTTCGGGGAGCCTGCCCTAGTGCCTAACTACCCTCTCAGGGAAGAACTTTTTCCTAATATAGAATCTGAACTTCCTCTGATGTAACCTAATGTAATTCCCTCAGGATCTAAGGTATTGCGTCCCAGGTGTAGATGCTGCTTGCTGTACCTTAGGAACTAGAAAACCATGCCCATGTTGTGAGGGTTAGAACTAGATGATCTTTAAGGACCCTTCCAACCTAAGCCATTCTAAAATTCTATGATTTTATGAATTAATGAATGATGGATACTTTAAAGACCTCACCAACTCTTGATGGAGACTACTCAGTGTCCATGAGTTATGTTTGGATGCTAGACCCCTGGCATCTCACTCCAGAGCATCTGTGGTGGTTGTCCGCCATCCCAGTTGAAGAGTTAAGGTCTTCTTTTGAAGAGCAAAGGAATGACACCTGGACTTAATGTGACATAACCTGATCAGATCCTCACTTACTTTCAGTCTGCACAAGCTATCAGATTCTGATAAATCCAAAGTAGGAAGCAGTCAGGTGATGGCTGACCTTGGCCTGGTCTAGCGGTTGGTGACCTTGTCCATGGCAGAGGGCTTGAAACTAGATGATCCTTATGGTCCTTTTCAACCCAGGCCATTTTATGTTTCTATGATTCTATGATTCATTGACACCAGTCCCAACTGGTTTCTGTTGGTTTCTGCTGCTGAAGGCATAGTTGCAGTCATCTCTTCACAATCCTTTCTCATGAACACACACACACACACGTATGCATATACACACTCTGAAGTTCTCTGTCATTTCACATACTGGGGGAACCAAGTTGGCACCCCAAACTCCAGTTTTTATTGAAATTCTAGCTTGTTCGGCATGACAGCACTCAGCAGTAGTGTGACTTCATTCAGATGGTCCACTGTTAACCTCCATTCTCCACCAGATACAGGCCTTATGGGTCTAATGTGAAGAGTGGGCGAGTCTTGCTGTTCACTCCTTACCTCTCCAGTCAATGAATTAGCTAATGGATGGGGATCAGGGAGTTTCAGTTGGTGAGATACTGCCACCAGTGCACAACAGTAGTAGTCATCGGCTCATACTTTTCTTCAACTCTCAGCAGCCCCACAATAGAAGGATCTTTTGAGAGACCAAACAAGGTAGACAGCTGTTTCGTGTCCTCCACCTCCAAAGCAACTATATTTCAATATAGCTTTTGAATGCACCCATTGGTGTCCTACCTCCTAAGGATTCACGGAGCATCCAGACTAGTCACAATGGGGTGCTTCTGCCACTCCTTCCCTGGTGGTCTCTCTTTGGCCTTCATTACAATTAGCTGTTGGGATTTCCATGTCATGCCAGAAAAACAGGTGGGTTCTGTCCATTTACAGCTTGGTGGCATTAGGGTGCATCAGCACTGACTAGAGCCTTAAACATCATGGGTCTGATGTGCCAGGCCATTGAATCCACACAGTCGGACAAACTCAGCTGTCTCTTTCCTCCACCTGCTGGAGGCAGGACACCTCTAGTCCTGATTGTAGTATCCATCTTGTGTTCATTCTTGTAAATGCAAATCACAAGTCCCTTCTTTATGTTCAGAAGTAAGATCAGCCCATCTAACCTGCCTGGATAATGGGTGACTAGAAACCACTGTGGCAATTTGCTTGGGAGAACTCCTTTTGTGATTGTTTTTCCTTGCTGCTCATATACCCATGCCATTCCATATCAATATTATATATCACCTTCAGCATGGCTAATTCCTTCATGCACTGAATACTTTTTCTGCATAGTGGTCAACTTGCCTAGGCTACATGCCAGCCCTTTCTTGAAGGGGACCTTTCCTTCCTGGCTGACAAGAGTCACCTCCAGAGGCTGAAGGTTTGTCTCCCTTTTGCAACTTCTTTGTCTTTACCACCTTTCCTAGAGAGGGATCCAAGGGATGTTCTTGCACATCTTCTAGCTCACCCGTGGTTTGGGGTCAGATGGTTACTGCCTCCTTTATAAGTTCTACCTCATGTTCTTGTTACTGTTGCTTAATGGAAGTCTTCCTCATCCTCTCCTTCCAACTCCTTCTTAGTAGAAGTTACTTCCCTTACAAAATGAGGTGAAAAACTTCACAACCATTGTTGCATCTTATGTAAAGGAGCAGCTGATACTTGAAAAGGTTTGTTGTCTGTTTGAAGGACTGTTGAAGGGGTTGGAGCAGTCACAGGGCCTGTCACAAGAGTTGGTGCAGTATTGAGTGTGGCTCAGCAGAAACTCCAGCCCCAGAGATACTAAATAGCACAAGGATCGTATACCTTATGGTACGATACATACAATATATGTAAATATATGTAAATATAAATATAAATATAAATAACATTGTGACCAGCAGCTATTAAACGACAGTAATATAAAAATTTTGTTTTAACATGCTCTGGTCAGACCTGTTGTTATCACAAGCCTTTGTGCCCCATGTTGAGTTTCAAAAAGGATTGTTGTGGTTTAAGCAGCAGGCAGCTCAGCACCACACAGCTGTTCACTCACCCTCTTGATGTGGGATGAGCAGGCCAGTCTGAGAAGCTGGGAAGTCCTTGACTTAGTGTAAATACTACTCAACAATGGCCAAAGTAGCAGTGCGTTATCAACATTGTTCTCCTCCTAGATCCAAAACAGTAAAATTCCATCTCTTAGGAAGAAAGACAACTCTATCCCCACCAAAAGCAGGACACCTTCATATTAGCTCTAAAGAGACATTGCACAGGTGCTGGCAGTTAATTCTGTTACTCTTCTTAAGTAGGATAAGTTACCTCATCTTGGTGAGGAGTGTAGAGGTGTATGGTTTTTGTTTGTTTCTTTTTCTTTCTTGTTTTTTGTTTTGTTTTGGACATCAAAACAATCATGTTTCAGCATGTTTCAGTATTGGGGCATATCTTTTCTTCATCTCTTCTTTCGTTAAGCCACTCTGCAAGTGCTTGTGTCCACATGGGCCAGAATCACTGAACAATGCAGTTTGAAGGCTCTCCGTGAGCCTTACACCAGCATTTCTTTTTTCTGGTAAGGAAATGGCTGAGGTGGCTGCTTTGTGCTATACAAACTTTGTGATGTATCTGGGTTACATGCAATTTCTGTGGCTCCACTTGTTGAGCTTATAAAATGTGCTCTCTCACATGCTGGAGGTCTTTCCTTCCTAGGGGCAATGAGGAACCTTGGGCGGGTGGATCTTGGCCTTGGTCTAATATCAGTTAGGGAAGCAATTAGAGGTATGTGTGCTCTGCAAATTACTTGCGCATCAACTTAGCTCTTATAGGCCAGGACATATTCCCGCATTCTTACAAGCAGACAATATGTAAAAAGAAACAGATTTTTGACAGCTTCCTGGGTTTATGTCGAGGTTTTGGTAGCAGGAGGCTGCAGGTATGGCCTCTGTGAGAAGAGACCAGGACCAATCCCCACATCAGACAGTCAGTTCCAGCTGGCTCAGAAAGTGATCTGCCACTGGCCAAAGTTGAGCCGATCGGTGATGCTGGTGGCTTCTCTGTGATAACATGTTAAGAAAGCATTAAAAAGGCTGTGCAGTAGCTGTGAGAGAAAGGAGTGAAAAAAATGTGTAAGAAACACTGTTGCAGGCACCAAGATCAGTAAAGGAAGAAGGTGTTCCAGGTGCCAGAACAGGGATTCCTGTGAAGGTTGTAGAGAAGACCATGTTGAAGCAGGCTCCCCTTCTTCAGCTCATGAGAAACCATATCAGAGCAGATACCCACACTGATACCTGTGAAAGACCCCATGCAAGCGTAGGTAGCTATGCCCTGAACAAAACTGCTGTCTATGGAGAATTCACACACAAGCTCGTGGCAGGAACAGCTTCTAGGGTCAAGTCTTCTAGTGGGACCTGTGGCCAGTGAAGGC